GAGGGATTCTTTTAATATGCAGGTACTTCGGGAAGAAGCAAACCATCTCATTTCATCTGTGTTCACCCATTCCTTTGGAACTGTTCCTTGAGGGGGGAGGGGGGGAGATCAGTCAATCAGTCACTAGCACTGTCATCAGCGTTGCCAGAGAGGTCGAGGACAGACATCATGGAATCAGACAGCTTACTGGCAAGTTTATCTGCAGATGGAGAAATACAGGCAGTCACTTGTGTGGCTAACTTGCCAACAGGAGGCCTGCAGAAGCTGGCCTACATCTACCTTGGTCTGCACCAAATTCCCAAACTGGTTCACTTACTGCCCTCCCCGCCAACGCTAAACAAAACAACTGGTAGACTGCTGGCAGTCACTGCTCAACCTCATTGGCAGACACATTTGTCGACTTGTGAAATGATCACCCCACCACAGGCTCCTATCTCAGAATGTCAGACTCACTGAGCTCCAAGCATTTTTATCCCTTCCTAGTATCAAAACATCAATTTTCTCTTACTGTGTTGAACTTATTAGCACTCTGCCATTACTCTCAAAGCTCTCGCAGCAAAAGGACAGCATGGCAGCAGAGACTGAATCTGAATGCTCACCTCCCACCCTCCAGCCATACCCTATTGTTCCTCAGGATTCCCCTCAGACATCAACTCCTCCAAGAAGACTTCTCTGATCATCCCTACCCCACTACCATCTCCAGGTTGGCTTAGGTTCCCTCAGTGTGCTTTCAATGCCTTCCTAGTGATCACTCTGTGTTGCCAATGTCTATTTTTTCATTTCCTCCCCAATAAGACCAGGAGTTCCAGGGCAATTCATCTGTGGATTCCCAGGCCTCAGTGTGGAATCAGACCAAGAGTGAATGGTTATAAACACAGCCTAGTTCAAAGTACAGAGCTCATGGGTGGTCAATCAATCCTAGGTTTAATTTTGGCTCCATCAAATACTAGTTATCTTACCTTGAGTGTGTCACTTAATTACTCGGCCTCACTTTCCTCACGTACCAAATGAGGACAGGACTTTTTGCAATAGGTTAGTAAACATTAGTATAGCATGAAGACCTAAATGGGCTGGCCATACAACACACTACCATTAAAATGAAGGAGGAAGTTCTTTTGTGAATTGACATGGAAATATCTCTAAATAGATATTGAATGGAAAAATGATATGGCAAAATTGTATGTTCAGTAGACCAGTATTTATATAGAAGAAGAAAACAATATATAGATGTTTGCTTGTGTATCTATCTCAGAAATGAGATATAAAAAATTAACTGGTCACCTCTGGGGGGAGGCCTGGATGACTGGACTGGGGGATTGGAAGAAGAGAGAAATTCTACTATACATTCTTTTGTACCTCTTGGATTTTGAGTATATTGCCTACTGACAAAGTAAACATTATATATAGCTTGTAAGCTTCCAACACATAGAAAGCAGCTGATAAATAAATGGTGGCTATTTGATACACAGACTAGGCTAGTGGTTCTCCAAGTGTGGTCCCGAGGGGAGTAATATCAGCATCAAGTGGGAAGCAGTTAGAATCACAAATTCTCAGTCACCAGGACCAACCTACTCAATTAGAATCTCTGGGGATGGGTCCTAGAAATCTATGTTTTAACAAGCCTACCAGGTGGCTCCAATATAAGCTCAACTTTGAAAACCACTGTGCCTCTAGTTGAACCTCCAGCAGTCCCCAACCTTTTTGGCACCAGGGACCAGTGCTCCTATGAGAATCTAACGCCTGATGACCTGAAATGGAGTTGAGGTGGTGATGCTAGTGCTGGAGAGTAGCTGAAAACACAGATGAAGCTTTGCTCACTCACCTACCACTCACCTCCTGCTGTGCAGCCTGGTCCCTAACAGGCCATGGACTGGTACTGGTCTGTGGCCCAGGGGTTGGGGACCCCTGTCCTAACCCCTCCCTGCCCCCTAACCCTGGCCTTGGGCTGGATACACGGAAGTCCTCACTCAGGAGCCCCTAATCAAGACTCTAGGTGGGCCCTTTTTGGACCACAGGGGGATGCTTAGGTGCTCCCCACCTGTACGCTTCTGTATCTTCTTCTTATTCTTCAAGGCAGATGCCAGAGCCTGGCCCTGCTGCAGGGGGTCTGTCTCCATGATCCTCTGCAGCATTGGGCGGCGGTCCACTGGGCAGACATTCCTGGGGTAGCAGTCCACATTGCGCTTAGCCCACCCCATCTGATGACGATTCGGAATGGTGCAATACCCAGTGAGCTCTCCAATCTGATGAGAGAGAGGACAGCAGTGAGGTCTGGGCCTCCAGAGTACCTCCAAAGACTTCTGCAGAGGAGGCAGAGACCAGTTTGGGTAAGAACAGTGAGCCTGGAGCCATGCAGAACTGAGCTCCAAGTCTGGCTCCACCATAGACTAGCAGGTGCTTAGTTAACCTCTAGGCTGAAGTCTGCTCAGCTGTCAAATGAGGGTAGACAATGGGTAGCTTGCATGGCTTTCACAAGAAGAAAATGAAAAAGAGTTACCTGATCAGTGACAATTGGGATTACAATGATTCTTTGCTCTCAGGTGACCCTACAAGGTCTTGGTCAATTTTACAAATACCTACTGATACCTACTTTGTGCCCAGCTCTGTGTGGGAAGCAACCAGGCTAAAAAGGACACGACCAACCATACTATAAGTCAGAGTATGGTAAGTGACCACCAGAGAGACATAGCATAAGTGACAGAGGTTGAGGGGATGGTGGTGATCAACATACTTCTACTGATAGGAGGGTCACTCCTGACTGAACGCTAGAAAAGCACAGAGCATACCTGGGCACCCAAAAGGGTGTCTGTTTGGCTGGAGTACAAGGTACATGCTAATACTGACAGCTCACTATGTGCCAAGTATCATTCTAAGCACATATACGTGTGTGTGTGTGTGTGTGTGTGTGTGTGTGTGTGTGTATGTATATGTATAGTACACATGTGCATATACACACACATATTAACTCATTTAATCCTTGCAGCAATACTATGACAAGGCACCTAAGGTCACAAAGCTAGTTAAGCAAAGGAATAAATTAGAACCCAAGCAATCAGGCTTACTTATATATGACTACCTACTACACTACAGTGGAGAAAAGACAAGGCTACCACACTGTGCAACTCTCAGGTTATGTGTGGGGGCGCCATCCACAATACAGCACACCTAAACGGTATCTCCAGGAGTTGTGCAATGCAGTGGCCCTGCTCAGGACCCAAGACCTGAGTCTGGAACTTACAGTACAGAGTAGGGAACTACTATAGGTCTCTGAGAAATAATGGTATGCTCAAGGGCTTAAGGGCTCAGTGAGAAAGGTTATCAGAGGATGGCCTTAAACATACTACCTTCTATCGATTTTCCTGTAAGCACCAGGGGGAACTTTTGAAACTAAGTGAGAATGGGAATGGCATGATTCCTGCCACTGCCCCAGTGCAGACCTCATTGTCTCTTACAGAGCACAGGTGAGGGTTTCCTTTCTGGACTCCCTGCTTCCATCCTGGCCCCTTTCTTCCTATTCTGATTTTTATCCTAGCCACCGGAGTGATAGTTCTAATATACAAACCTGACCACATGGCTTCCCTACTTAAGAAACTCTTCCAGATATTATGTAGCCATCAAAAATAAAAGACAGCTCTTTAAGTAATTAAGTGAAACAATCTACAAGATGAATCTGTAAGTGAAATAAGCAAAGTATAGAATATGAATAGCATGCTAATATTTGAATTAAAATAGATCTCTGTGTCTGCTTGTATGTAGATGTGTATAAAGATGGAATAGCTCTGAAGATGGGACAGACTCAAGTCTGCTAATAGTGACTGCCTCAAAGGAGGGGACAGGGCAGCTGAGAGACAGAAGCAAGAGAATTACTTTACACTATATACCCTTTAGTATCTTTTAAATTTTATACCATGTACACGTAATATCTACTCAAAAAATAAATAAAAAGAAAAAAAAATATTAAATAAACAAAATAGAAAAAAAAAACCTTGACTCATAAAAAAATAACCAATTTTCAGAGTTTTCCTATTCCCCATGGTTTAAAGTCAAACTCAAGGCCTTCTGTGATCTGACTCTAGATTGATCTTTCCACAATTTCACCCCACTATAGCAACCCCACAACACTAATAATTTTCCCAAACACCCTGCTCTCACCCTTCTGGGCCTCGGCATGAGCACGGGCTGAGCCCCAGCCCACAGGCTGCTGCCCCGCCTTGTGCAGAGAATTCTTCAGTCTTCAAGAGATGATGGCACAAGAATCAAGGCCTCCAAGACTTCCCTGACCCACAAGTAATATATGTTAGGGCCCTGAGATCCATGCTCTCCCAACTGCTGCAACCTCCCCCAGCCTATGTGTCTACCCATCACGGTGAAGATATCTGTGTCTGAAACCCGCTGAAGTGTGATGTCCTGAAGGGCAGAGATGGGGAGACTGGTAGAAGGAAAAGCCTCCAGGAGTCATAGCAGAGTGGATTGATTTGATCCTATAGGTGCCGGGAAGCCATGAATAAGGAAGATGATATGGTCAGATAGGGCCATTAGAAACCATGTACCCAGGTAAGAGAGGACTGGAAGCTTAGACTAGGGTTACAGGAATGTTAGAGAAAGAGAAGCTTCTCAAGAAATTTAGGAGGAAGAAGCTATGAGACTTGATGACCAACTGTGTATGGGATCCTAGATACCAGCTGGAAAGAAGGAAGAATCAGGGATACCCAGGTTTGCAACTTGAACAGCTGGGTAGCTAGATGGGCATACCTGTTCTCTGAGCTGGAGCCAGGCTGGGAAAGTTGCTTGAGAGAGCATGCCTTCTCTTTGGACCTGCCATTTCTTGGCAAAGGATGTACCCCATCAGGGAGCCCACAGGAACAAATGAATGACCCGTATCTCCCCACCATTATAGGCAGACTTCATGGGAGCCAGGTGAAAGGGACTGACCACTTCCCAGAGCCCTGGGTTTCCATAAAGAAGAAGATTGCCATAAAGAAAGGGGACAGGTACCTTATACACAGTGGTTTTATTTTCCATGGCATCTGCTATTTTCACCATCGGAGAATGGAGCCACTTGATATCCATTTCGAGCGGGTCCATGTCACCCAACAACTCATCAGATTCTCCAGTGGCCAAGCCTTCAACACAACCAACACCACTGTCAGGGCTCCTCCCTGCTGCCAGCCCCCTGGGTCAGGCCTCAGTGGAAAGGATATATGGATGCTGCCCAGGGGAGTTGGGAGGGAAGGTACTTTCATTCCCGCTAGGAGGCCACAGGACAAAGGATCAAGGGCATGGGTTTTGCAGTAAGGCACTCGCCCTCTGGGAGCTGATCTTGGAGCCTCAAGTTTCTCATGTGGAAAATGAGACTGCCACAAGCCCTATGACATAGTGCTGCTGTGAGTCACAGCAGAGGACTACCTGAAAAGCACTGAGCTGAAACACTGTTCTGTACATGACAACCACTGGGATGCCCCCTCCAGCACCAGGCTTCTCTCCCTCTCGTTATGGCCCCTTGCCTGAAGCTGGCCTCCACCGCACACCACAAATGCACCCATTGCCCTATGCCCATATCACCTTCACACCTGCTTCTAAACTGTCTCTTCCCCTTCCCTGGGCCTCTAATCCTTAATCACTTTTCAAGATCCAACACTATTCAAGGGCCAACTCCTCTAGGAAACTCTCACCAGTAAACTTCTCAATTTCCCAGACCTCCATCTTTTGCCCAAGTGAATTCTCGGTGATGGAGTCCCTCTTGCCCTCACATGTAGCCAGGTCAAGCATCATCATAAGAACGGGAGTGGGAATTCCTCCCAACTGCCTACTTGATAAAAGAGGAAATTAAAGTTCATAAAGGGGGCTGACTTGCTCGAAGCCACCTGGAGAATAATCTCTAAAGCAGGCAAGTCTTCTTGTCCTCATTTATAATCCAAGGATACCAAAAGGCCCAGGGAAGGAAAGGTACTGGTCCTCAAGAGAAACAGAGAAACTAGGAGACAGTCCAGCCAGGGCTTTCTGCACCACCCCACAGTGTCCAGAGACAGGCCCAGAGAGCACCAGGTACCTTTTCTTGGGTGGAGTAGAGAAGAAAGGAGGGCTGCAGATGGTAGTATTTGAAGAGAACAAACTTCTTTCAGGAGTTTCTGAAAGCCACGTGGCTCAACAACAGCTAATATTTACCAAGTAAGTACTAGATATATTCCAGGCACTGTTCTAAGTGTTTTTACGTATTAAATAATGGGTGAGTGCTATGGTCCTCATTTTAGCAGGACAATCAAACACGAGATTTGTTGTCAGGTCTATGTGGCTCCACTAGTGCAAGACCAAGTACCAGGCAGTCCAGTCCACTCGCCGTCACTTACATTCCATGGTGTCTTCATTGGCCTGCTCGGTATCCTCAATGTCGAAGACCTCAGTCATCTCCTTAACGATCTCAGCACTGAGATGGGTGGGCAGAGTGTGGGTGGCGGGTGGTAGTGTGTAGAAGCTGATCTTCCCACTGCATTGGGAGGTGGGAAGAAATTGGTGGTTATGTCATTAAGAAAGCAAATCAAAGAGAGAATGAGTTCCCAAGTGAGAAACAGTGAGGAACAACAAGCAAACCCAGCCAGCAGATTCTGAACAAGATGTTGAGTTGCTGGATAATCACTGGCCATAAATTCCTGCACAAGATGTGACCTGATGCCTCGGCCTTCTCCTGCCCTGGGACCCAGAAGTCAGGCTGCCCTGCCACTGCAATGAAAACAGATGAGTCCTTTGTGGAGCCTCACCCCTACCCCTAACCACTCCTCACCTCACCCAGTCAGCCAGGACTGCTTTGGCTGCCTCCTCCTGACTGTATATGCCTCCCTTCTTCTTCTTCCCCAAGCGATGGGCCACCGCAGTCAGAAAGTGCTCAGTGGTCTGGAACTCTGAGATGCCATAATAGTTGGATACCTGGTGAAGAGAGGAAGAAAAGAAATAGGGAAGAAGGATGAAGGACCCTTGGAGTTGGGTAGGACATGAGCCAAGAAACCTGCGCACATCCTCCAGGTTGCAGCGTTGCAGGATGGTCTCCACTGGGGTCATGGGGTCTGCCAGCTTCTGCACACGGACGCAGTTGCGCAGGATGGTGCCCACCTCCGAGTTGGGTCCTGGGACAATTCCTGGGGCATCCAGCAGCCTGATGAACTTGTCCAGGTAGACCTCCTGCATGAACCTAGACAGGAGGACATAAGAGAGGACATAGGACACTGATGAGCCTGGGTGTGTCTGGCATCCTCTCGGCCTCAGGCACACAGCTAGAAGGGATGAGGGGTGAATGGAATAGAGATGAAGATAGAGAGATGTAGGGCCAGGGGCTCTGGGACCGTACAGACCTGGGATTGATTCTATCTACTCTACCCCCTGCCATTGGAGACTGAGCTATAGGATTATGGACCAGCTTCTGACTGTGAGACTTGGGTGTTTCACCTAGGAAGCAGAGCTGCTTATTCATAGCCTAATCTTGCATGGCTGTTAGGAGACTTCAAGGAGCCAATAAGGGAAGCACCCAGCTGGGTGCCTGGCCCACATCTAGAGTGTGCCAAGTAACTGTAGGCTAATAATGAGACTCCTGTGCCCAGGGAAGAATCAGAGGTTCATCCAAGATAAGGAAAGGGGCAGGGGCTGAAGGCATGAGAATTAGGGGAATGGTAGAGTCAGTGGAAGTGGGGAAGCAGGCAGGTGCTTACTTAGTGACACCAGGAACGGCTCCCACACTGCATGCACGGCTGCGCTTCAGGCTATTGATCAGGCTGCTCTTCCCAACATTGGGAAGGCCTACAAAGGAGTTAACAGATGGTTCAGGGCATAAAGGGCCCTCGGGAACATTTGGGCAAGGCTGTTTGTGGGAGGTCCAGGCAGGGACAATGACCAGGCCACAGGAAACCCAAAATCAGAGTCTAGCCTCTTGCCTTCCCACCCCAGGCCCTGATCAACCCCCTACATGGCCTTTTTACCCCTCCGCTCCATTTGTGAGCACACTGGGTAGTCTCTCTCTCTAGACGTGACACTCACCTCCCATCTACAACCAGCCTGGGAAAGGTGCTCAGTGCAAGGCCTCTGTGACATGATCCAACAGAGGGTGGACATGGGAAGTGTCCACGAAATAGAGAACCATCTATCCTGGTGTGTAATTCGCTAGGGGGTAGGGGCTCATCTCCAGATGTCCTCCTTTCTGAGCAGCTGTCTGGCTATGGTGTTTTTCCATTTGGGCATCTTTGAGCACCTCCCTCCCTGGGTCTCTCATTCTCACCATTCTCCTTCTGTGTGTCCTAGAATTTACATATCTACTGCCCTCTCACAGATGTGCCCATGTGGAAGTCTCTACACACACCTCCCTCCATATGTCTCTCGGTCTCTTGGTCTCTTGGTTGCTCTCATTCGAAATATTACTGCTTTTTCCATTTTTGTCTTTCTCTCCCATTCAGTCTTTTTCTCTATCATCTTTCTTTCTCCGTATATCTCTGTATCTAAGGATCAGTCTCTCTGCCGGTTTGTCTGTCTCCATTCTGGCCACTGCCCTTTCTCCTTTTCTCCCCACCCCACCAATTCTGCCTCTCTTTATAATTCCCTCTATGTCAACTCTGCTCAGTCTTTCTATATACATTCCTTCTCTTGGTAAGCTGATCTCTCTTTCTGTATGGCCCTATGTACGTGTTTCACTGTGTCTCTTTTTCTCTCTCCCTATGTCTACCTAACACGCTCCCTCCTTTCCTCTCTCTCTATGCATATATTATGTCTTGTCATAGATATGTCTGTATATTTGTCTCTGTGACTCTGCGTGCATGGCTGTGTCTGAGGGCCTAGTGTATCTAGGCACGTGTGTGTCTCTCTGTGGCTCTATATGCTTGGAGGAAGCAGAGTTGGGGTGAGTGTGTGGGAAGGGCTTGGTCTGCATGTGTTTTGCCCCAGGGTCTGTCTGTCTCTAGATGTGCATCCTCTGGATCTATACTTGTCTCCACAAATGTGGATCTGCATATGTTTGTGGATCTGTATCTATGTGCAGATCTTATGTGTGTGTTCCTCTGTGTCTCCATCTTTGTTGCAGTCTGTTTCTAGATGTATCTCTCTGAATCTGTCTCTCTATCCGTATGTTTTTGTCTCTCTCATTCTTTAAGTATACGTGTCTGCCTCTCCACATCCATGGGGTATCTCTAGCGTTCTTGTGTCTATCTCTGTAGGTCTCTGTGCACATCTATCTCTATGTCCCTTTGGTATTTTTCTGTAAATATCTCTGTTTCTCTGCATGCTTCTGTCATTTAAATGTTTCCCCTTTCCACTGCCCACCAAGCCTGCCATCTGGCTCCCCAGTTTGTTTTGGGTCTATTCAGGTATGTCTATCTATACTTTTTTCTCAGCGTCCATCTATCTCTTCAATGTCTTTGTCTCTTGGCTTTACTTCCTCTCCGTAATGGCCTACCTCCGCCTCTCTCCATTTCCCCTCTTCCCATCCCACCATCCTTCCCTCAGTGCCCTGGGATCCAGACAGGCCCAGGTTTGAGCCTCAGCTCTGCTTTGCCTCACACAGGGCTGAGCCCCTCAAGTCCCTTTCCCTTCTTTGGGCTTCAGCATTCTTACCTGTAAAAGGGAGATGTTCACTGCTCCCTCCCACAGCTCTGGTAGAATGAGAAGGAGCCAACTCCAAGCCTAGCCCTGTACATTTGACCCACGGTTCTAACACTCGACACATGGTGGTGATTCTGAGTATGTCTTCCCCACAATCACCAATACAAATTACAAGTCACAAAACCCTTCCTTAACTGCTCCTCTCTTCCCCACTAAAAAGGTAACAGAAAATTCCCAGGATCCTTTCCCCCAATGAAGCCCCTGTGCAAGGGAAGAGCCTGGGCCCCATAACTGCCCCCAAGTTACCCACAACGCCTACACGGATATGGGTGCGTCATTACCCACAACGCCTACACGGATATGGGTGCGCACTTCACCAAGGCGGCAATAGTTCCCCAGAACCCTCATGAGGTTTTCAGCTCCAAAGCAGGCTCTGCTTTTCAGCAGTGACTCAGAAGCCTGCTCCACTGGCACACTGCAACGACTCTAGAAAATGAGGGGCATTACAGAAGAGGCGTCAGGTGAGAGATGTGATATGAGCCCAGATTTCCAACTTTCAGAGAAACTTTCAGGGTCTGCCTGTGACTGAGATCCCCAGCCCAAAGTGAACGACTTCTCACGCAGGTCCTAACACCTGCCATTTCCCTGCGCTCCTCAGAGGCCCATAAGCCCTATTGTTCCACTATCTTTACATCTCTAGTCTCCTCTGTCCCTGCCTCTGCCTAGACACATTTCTTGCCTCCTTCAGTTGGGGCAGAATGGCATCCTAACCTCTAGACAGGCCAGGTTGGAGTTCTAGCTCTGCCTCTCACAAGTGTGTACCCAGTAAATCCTGCTTCCCTTCTCTGGGCCTTAGTGCCCTCCCTGCCTACAAAGGGAAGAAACAGTGCCTGGCCTACACACAGCCTACCTTCTCTTGATTCCTCACACAGGACAAGGCCATTCCAACCTCCATCTCTTAACTCCTGATGCCACCTCCTCTGCCCAGAATGCCCTTCCATCTCTTCCTCTTTCCTTACTTACTCACCACAGCATTTCAAAATAGAAATTAACCTAAATATCCATCAACAAGAAATAGGTTAATGAGATATATCCTTCAAGTGGAATACAAATTAGAGAAAGCTGTTAGCAAAGGATGCTTACCACATTTTTGCCATCGAAAAGGCCCAAAATTTTTTAATTAGGTATCACGTGTCTTCCAGATTAGCAAAGATTAAAACATTTAATGATATCGAGGGGAAAAGGCCCTCCCACATATTCATCTGCCCCACTGGCGGGAAGATAAATGTTAACGCCACTTTGAGGGGGATGCAACTTGTCAGTGTCTAGGAAAATATAAAATGTATAAAGTCTATGACTCAGCCACTCCACCTCTCAATACCTAACCGATACAAACACTTGCCCATGGGCCAAGAAGACATGTGCGAGAGTGCATGCTGAAGTACTGGTTCTAACAATTAAAAAAAAAAACTGGAAATTAATTTTAAGCATCAAAAAGGTAGATCACTACACAAAGATATTCAAGAATAAAAAAGCAAGCTGCATGATGACACGTATGATATCCCCAAACACTATTTACTCTGCCTAGACATACAAAAAAAACCATCTGGAAGGATACACACTAAACTGAAAATGGTAGTTACCTCTGGATATACATGGATAAAGGAGACTGAAATTAGGGGTACTGGTGAAAGGGTATTTAAATTTTACCTACATATTTTACAATGAAAAAGTATTTGTGTTAATTATATAATTAGAAAGTAGGGTGGTGTTTTAAAGAGAAAAAACAAATAAAGGTATATCTTTTTAAAAATCATCAAATAGTTAACTATATTTTCCAAATTTTCTATAGACAGTATGTATTACCTCTACATCTGGAAAAAATGCTTCCTGAAGAACAATAATATAGGAAGGAGTGAAATGAAACTAGTACTAATCAAGTCATCTAGTAAAGCAAAAAGCTCAAAGTTGAAGGCCCAGTTCAATTACCAAAGAGCTGGAGTCCCCAGTTCAAGTCATGATCCTCCAACCCTGGCCCCAGACTACCCTGAGAAAGTCTAGATGCCGCTGCCCCCTGCTTACCAGGTTTTTGACCTGATGCTGGGTGCTGGCCTTGAAAGCCACAGTTGGCAGCTCATTCTGAAGGTAATCCAGCCACTTCTCTATAACCTCCTTCGGGACCAGGTCTGGGGAAAATAGGAAAATAGAAACAGACAGGACCGGTAAGGAGAATACCACCTCAATGGCTCACTCCAAAGATGCATCTACCCACACCCAAGGCTAGTCCCACCCCCGCCAACAGATATCTCCCTGCCCCTGCCAGTCCCTATCTAGTCCCCAGGTTAGAGTTAGAAAAAACAGTCTAGTCTAGAGGACCACTTGGCCCTCCCTGAGGGACCTCTGTTCCCTCAGGGGGAACAGGCAAACTAGCTATTTGGTCCCAGATGCCATCCTTCCAAGGCAGGGTGCCCAGGGTGCCAGAGGCCTCCCAAAGATTATATGTCCCAAACCCCCTCAGGATCATTCTAGTTTGGACCAAATGTCAAGAATAACTTGAACTAGAATGGCTACCATTTATCAAGTACTGACCACACATATACCAAGCATTTTATTATTAACTCTCACAACAACCCTGTGAAATTGGGACGATCACAGCCCAATTCATAGCTAGAGAAATAGAAGCTCTCAGGTGATATAACTTGTCCAAGATCCTAGAGAAAACAGCGAAACTGGGATGAGACCCAGACCTGAGTGACTCCTGAGCCCATGTGCTCCCCTGCCCTAGTCTTTGGGTTCCAGTGTGGAGAAGACAGAAACCCTCCAGGGTTGGCCATCCACAGATAAGGCTCGAAATGATAAGAACAGGGGACTGAAAGGCAGACAGGCTTGGATTCCACTCCCAACTTCCGCTACACTCCATATGTGTATATCTTTAGACAAATGACTTCACTTCTCAGATTTCTAGCTTTAAAAACTGGAATAAAAATTCCTACCTTGAACAACTGTTATGAATACCACTGAGTTGCTGGGTCCCAGGGTCCAGTCTGAGCTAGTCTTTTAAAAAGGCCTAGTCCCTGCCCTTCCTTACTCAATCCTGCCAACACCCACCAATCTTGTTCAAGACCAGGACCAGCTTCTTGTTGCCTTCTGCCTGCAGGACCGCCTCCTCCATTTGGAAGCAACGGCAGCCCAGTGGGTCTCTGGCATCCAGGACTTCCAGGATCACATCAGAGTATTCCACCACCTGCAGGGCAGAGGACAGGGGAGGAAGGCAGGGAAAGGACTGGGTATCAATCATACAGGTCTGTGAAAGTAAAGGTCTCCATTTCAGTCAGGAAAAACAGAAATGGAGAGATGGGACTGGATTGGTGCCCTCCCTAAAGGGCCTTAGGAAATAGGTCCCTGTACCTTACGGAACTCCTTGTAATAAGCCTTCCTTGTGGCCTCATCATCCAGCTGAGGAAACATATTTAATTCCTGCAAAACTTCCTCCTAAAGGAAAAAAGAAGAGAATGGTCCACAGGAGGAAATAGAAAGAGAGCCAGGGCTTTAGAAACCATGGGAGGCTGAGAGAACCATGTGAGTCCCAGCCCACCAAAGAGCTGACCAGCCACCAAAGCTTGGAATTGGAAGAATGGACAGACCCATATGGTACGTATGTGTGCCTATGTGTAAGTGTGTGTTCAAGCACCAGCTAGAGGCCTGAGTATGCACATGGGTATGTAAGAGATAAACACGAGAGGAAGGTGTAAGAAAAACCATCTATGGGAGACATGGGATGGGGAAGGCAAAACCTGTACTTTATGTTAGAAAAGGGACTACGAGTTGGAAAGTGAATTTTTTGTGAGACAAGAATATATGCCACGAAGGCAGTAAGAAGTCTTAGAAGAGGAGATCCCCCTCACATATACTTCTTTCTAACCCTCCCCTCATACTCTCACTCCCTCTTCTCCCCCTGTCCTATTGTGCTGTATCTCCCCACCCCCACTCCCAACTCACAGTCTTTGGGTTCCAGCTTGAGAGAAAAGGACCTATCTTGGGTTGTCCAGACACAGAAAAGGCTCAAAATGGCCCTTTACCTCCTTCTCATCCTCCCTCCCTCTCTCTGTCCCTACTGTTTCCAATCCTCTCTGCACTAAGTCTCTATTTCCCTTCCAACAATCTCATACCCTTTCTCTTTTCCTTTCACAGAGCAAGAACAAAAGATGCTTTCGAGCAAACCCACACCAATCCTACCCAGGGGCAAAGCCTGCTCTCTTACCTTGCGCTCAAACTCCTCTTGGCGCTGCTGGACATCTTGACAGTAGCTCTCGATGGTCCTGTGTCTGTGTCTCTCTTGCTCTCGGGCAACCTGCTGCTTCTCCCTCATCTCCTCAATCTAACAAGTGAACACACACCGGGACTGCAGCTGACTAAATCTGCAGCCTAAGGAAGGGATGGGAGACCGAGAGTGATAGGGAGTGAATGACAGATAGGAAAGACTGTAACATGGCAGAGATGGGAGGAGCAGAGATAAAGGGAGAAAGCAGGTATCACAGCCGGGGATAAGAGGTTTGAGAGAAAGAAACAGAGAGATATGGGAAGGGAAAGCAGAGCAGAGAACAAAAAGAGGGCATGGGAAGCTGAGAGAGAATGTTCCAGGTAGAAGGAATCCCTTAAGACCAGAGGGGAAAGAAGACAAGGTCGTGAAATGCTCCATCATTTAAAGAGCAGGAAGAGAGACTGGAAAATAGGAAGGAGGACATCCATGAGAAATGACAAGAAAGTCAAAGTCAGAGTGTTTCAAGGAAAGCTTGGTCTCAAATACAGAGAATTCGAATCAGATGAGGGACAAAAACTATCCATGAGTCTGACGTCAAAGAATACACTGGTGAGGCTGGCAGGGGCCGTTTCAGTGGAGCAGTGAGAACATAAGCCAGCTGGTAATGGACCGGGAGGTGTACAAATGGAGACACTAAATCAAGTATCAAATCAACCACCCTCGCTTCCCCCTTCCACAAATAACCTCAACAATCCTAACCATTCTGGCCTTTAACCTTCCATTTACCATGTCTGTGGACCTGGCAATTAAGCCAGGCCTTCACTCTCCTCCAAGGTAAAGGGCTTACCCTCTTCTTCTTTAATTCAGCCTCCCGGCTGGCATGAGCATTGGCGTGAACAAACTGGAGAGTAGAGGCCACCTTGGAGGTTGCTTTTTTCCCATTCTGCTTTGCAGGATGATCACCACACAAGAGAAAAAAAAATCAATCGGAGTTAATAAACCCAAGGAAATCACCACTCCTGGGGGCGTTAAAGCTGCTCAGAACTGTAGTCATGGGGAGGTGGGGTGGAGGGAGGAGAGGAGTAAATAAAAAGAAGGGCCCTGCCCCAGAGGTATGTGCATCTGGCTAGAGAGAAACCCTCCCACCCCTAGCCAGGCAGGGACTACCTGAAGGACCCCAGGAAAGGGGGTGGGGCAACTGGGAAGGTTTCTCAAGTAAAGGCCAAGGGAAAAGCTAAACATTTCTCAAAGTGTGGTCCTTAGACCAGCAGCAGCATTGCCTGGGAACTTGTTAGAGATACAAATTCTCAAATGCCACAACAGACCCCCTGAATCAGAAACTCGGGGGTGGGGCACAGAATCTGTGTTTTCACCAGCCCTTAAGGTAATTCTGGAAACCTGGTTAAGTGTGAGAACTTTAACCATGCTAAAATTCGAGAACCACTGCTCTAGCCCAAGTCTTACTTGTCCACATCTTTTCTAGTACAATCAGGAGATCCAGGAGCAGGGGCTGAAGAGTATATTTTGGACTTCCTCCTCCCCATGAGTGACAGGGAATTGGGACTCAGAGAGACTCAAGTCCCAGCTGTGCTACCTTGAACCTAGGAACTTTCTCACTGAGGCTCATTTTCTTCATCTAAAAAATGGGACAATGACAATTTACCCGACTAAGGCAAATCAAGCACAAAGCAGTATATGGTTTGTGGTGTAAACTTAATAAATGCTGCTGATTCTCTGCTGCAGCCAGATGTGCTGAGTCCAATGTGATATAGTCTGTCTAGAGTCACCCAACATCTACTGGATTTTGTGGGCCTCTTCTAGGGCAGGCAACCTGTTCCTGACCTTACTCCAACAATGGGCATACCTTACCTGAGGGTAGGGCCAACTCACCTTCTTATAACCTTTGGAAACTTTGCCTGGCTTCTTATTTTCTACAAAAAAAAAAAGCTGTTATTCATCCATCCAACATTCGTTGACACCTTAATCAAGGCCAGGCCACACTGGGAACCTAAAGACTCCTTGGACACATTGTCTGTCTAGGCCCAGCATAAGACAGACACATAGACAGCAACAACACAGTTTAAAAAAAAAAAGGACTGGATATAATGTTTGGGGAATTATTTCGATGCAAACTGAAACAATCCTTAAGGGAATCCTGTGAAGACCTGAATGTGTGTTTATGACTCCTCTCTTTCCCCCAACTTCTCAGGGGAGGCAACTCAACAATTTTGGCACCAGGCTGAGGTGGGAGACTGGCAGCATAGAAAGATGATCTAAGGAGTCCCACTGGCTAAACCAGAGTAGATGCCCTCAACCACATGGGGAGGGAACTGCCCCATCATGCCAACCCTGCTCAGTCCACTGCCTCCAAAGGGACTTGCCCTATTCAGCTAAACTGCAGCCTCGCTTAGATACAAGAAGGAGAGAGCTCACCTCCTCCAATCACGCCTTAACAATGTCTAGAAACTTAAGAGACCTCTCCCTTCCTTCAATGAGAAGTCCCATCTGTCATCCCCTTCACAGCTGGCCTCTTGGGGAAGAATGGCTTCCCTTAATTCCCACCACCTGCAAGGGGGCTAAAGGAATTCCTAAAGGGGGAGATTTAGGAAGGTCAAGGTATATACAAACAAATATAAGAGTAGCTTGAGATTATCTGAACGGGCTCATCAATCGCATCATGTGGTTCACACTGAAGCAGAGTTAATGTAGGAAACAGAGAATTCAACTACTACAGTAGTCCTCCCTTATCCACAGGAGATATGTTTCAAGACCCCCAGTGGATGCCTGAAACTGCAAATAGTACCGAAACCTATATATACTGTTTTTTCTTATACATACACACCCTTTCACTTAAAGGAAGCACTTTACGGCTCCTCTTTGGCATATCTGAATTGCCAGCATCACTATTCTTCTGCTTTAGGGCCATTATTAAGTAAAATAAGTGTTACTTGAACACACGCACTGCGATAGCATGACATGGACCTAGTAACAGAGACAGCTAAGTGACTAATAGGCAGGGAGTGTCTACAGCATGGATACTCTGTACAAAGGGATGATTCATGTCCTGAGCAGGACGAAGCAGGATGGCGTGAGATTTCATCATGCTACTCAGAATGATGTGCAATTTAAAACTTATGAATTATTTATTTCTTGAATTTTCCATTTATTATTTTTAAACCACAGTTGACTGTGGGTAACTGAAACCGCAGAAAGTGAAATTGCAGATAAGAGGGGTCTACTGGACTGCAGATTCTTAAGGAGAGTCAAGATACTTCAAAGGAACTGTGTGAGAAAAAGTTCCCCAAAACCTGACATTGAGTAAAAATTCAATAGATGTAGTAAAAACAGAACAGACATCACTAACAATAAAATTAATAAGCTGGAAGACCAAAAGAAGAGCTTGCTTAAAACAGAACAAAAATCCCCCTCCAAAAATGTAAATTATTAATAAAATTAGAAAATGGAGAATGAACCCAGGAGAGTTATTATCTAAATAACAGGAATTCCTGAAAGAGAAAAAGTTAGAAATGGAAAAGCAATTATTTTTTTAAATAATAGATAAAAGTTTCTTTAGTTGAAGACAGGCTTGTGGTTTCAGATTAGACAGACTCGTGTAGCACCAAGATTAACACAAAAGACATAACCTGGGCATATCCTGGTGAAATTTCTGAACTCCAAGGATAAAGAGAAAAATCTTATAAACTCAAATGGAAGGAGTTTCTAACAAAGGCAAGTGAGGCAGACAGCCTTCTCAAATCTACAACTCTGAACACTTAAGACAGAAGAATAACCATTACAAAGTTCTGAAACAAGGGACTGTGTTCCAAGCTAAATTCCTATACCTGGCCAATAGATCACTCTTACATGAAATTTAAAAGACAGACATTTTCAGATACGCGAAGATTACCACCTCTATTCCCTTTCTGGTAAAACTACTTGAGGAAGTACACCAGCAAAAATAAAATTAAATCACAATAAAGATCTCGAGCTAAGGCAACAGATAATAGTGTGCAGGAAATCTATTAAAACTTACCATTGAATCTTTAAAAAAATGCTACTAATGTGGCTAAGAACTACGATACATATCAAGAAAGGATTTTTAAGATCCAGAAAGCATATAAGGAAATAGCTCAGAATTAAAATGCAAAATTATTTCACAAAATCCAGGAATCAAGCAATAGGGGTTGCAAAAGCAAAAGCATGAAAATATGCTAAAAGTCTCACTTTGGGAGAGTAGGATAAAAATAGTTATTTAACTTTGGTAAAGTGATAGAGAAATTTAGGTTTAATTATGTTTGATGTCAACATAAACGTAATTACCAACATGACTTTACTGGTGGTGGTTTTTTTTAAACTTGATCAATTTTTTTAAAGTAAATAAAGGAATAATAAAAAAATATAAAATAAGATTGTAGCAATTAGATCAAACTTATTAGTTATCATAATGAATGTGTATAGGTCAAATTTCCCTGTAACAACAACAACAAAAAGACTCCACGTCTCCTTTTCTTCCAAAGTACTCATGTTGCAATGAAGAGAATGTGAGGTTTGGAATGAACCAGGTCAGGCCATTTTACTCAACAATTTCCAACTGCCTAACTTCCCTGGAAACTGAGAGCCTGCGATGGATACAGACATACAATGAAAGAAAATACATTACGTAGAGAGGAGAAAACATCTGCTTCAGCACAAAGGAAGCGGGGAGGAGAGAAGGGCAAGTGGGAGAAGAGGAGAAGGATACATTCATCCCTCATAGCACTGAGGCACCCAGGAGCCACTGTTAATCTGTTTCGTTTTTTTTTAACAGCTTCAGAGAGAAAACAGTTACCATTTTGTAGCCAGCCCGATCTAGGTTCCTATTCTAGCTCAATAACTACCTCGCTATACAACCTTTAAGAATTTTCTTAAAGCTCTATGAGCTACAATGTCTCCATTCATCAGTTCTCACATCAATACACAAGGGCAGATCTCTCATCTCTCATACTCTCACCCTACTACATTCCTTGTACACCCAGCCTGGCACTGACTCCAACACCCATCTTCCCTCTGCCCCTGCTTAAAACTTCCCACTATGCCCTCTGACACTCCTACTTGGGAGATCAGCGCTCCCCTAATTCTTCCATCTCTCATCGGGAACAATTCTCCAACCTCTTGCCTTAATGGAAACTCAGCTCTGAGGACACTGCTTCACCTGCAAGACTTTGGAAAGGTGGCTGTTGTTTTCTCTGGCATATGAATAAGCTTGAGGTCAGTAGGTAGAGGAGGTGTCCTCTGGACTCACCATTGCCAAACCAAAAATATTTCTCCCCCTTGTTAAAGGAAAAAAAAAAAAGGAGAAAAAAAATTCTGCTCTTTATCAGACTGCTGCTATGCCTGTCACCCATTAATCTAGTCACTCTCCTTCATTTATTGAAGCACCTGGCTCAGAGCTCTACTTTCAACCTAACTCCTGCCATCATCAACCTGGGTAACTTTGATGAATACTGGGCCCCTTCCAACACTCAGCTTTCCCACTTCTTCGACATCCTCATCTCCAGGGGCCCCCATTCTATGCAGCTACCCACCCACCCACTGCTATGGTGACACCTACGATCATCATCTAACTGCTTGAACTTCAGAAAGCAGTCTCTGTCGTCCCTCTCGACTATCTTCAAACTCATTTGTTCAACCTCCTAAAGACTTCTAAAACACTGAAGCCTCCAGTCTGTTCCTTATCCACCAGCCACTTCCTTTCCACCATGCAGCTTACATTCACAGTCTGTCATTACAGTGGATTATATACACGTGCCACCAATCAATGATGGTTGTAAATCTTTTAAGTGGTAAAACACACCCTCCTTTTTTATTAACCATTCAAAAATGTACAACAGCTGAAACCGTACTTGAACATTCTTTGTAGGGCTCCTCAATAACCTTCCCAGATTTAATCGCTATCATTCCCATTTGGGTCCCAGGTATCTCTAGCTGCACCACACAGCGCCACCCCATCTTCTGCTGCAATCATCCCAGTTACTCATCATTACATGCTTTAGTTGCAATTTACCATTAAAAGCCTTTGTTTTGTGTGCACATATAAAGTTTTTCTATTCAATTTAATGTCCACCATTTTCCCCACTAATGTAGATGTGTATGATGGCTCTTTAACAGGTTGTAGGGTTCTAAAATAAAAAGGTGTACTTTAAGAAGTCTCCGTCTCACACTTGTTCCCAGCCACTATAGTCCCCTCACTGCAGTAAGAAACCACTTTGTTAGTTTATCAGGCATCATTTGTTTTCTTTATGCAAATGCAAATATATATTCTTATCTCCCCCCATTTTTTCCCACAGGAGGTAGCATACTACGTATTCCTGTCCGCAACTTGCTTTTTTCATTTAACAAACCCTGGAGATCTAATAGTTTTTTCATACAATAGAGTATTTCCATATAATCTTTCCATACAATACTTCCTCATTGTTTTAAATGGCCAGGGCTCTTTTGTATGCATATACTCCATATAGCCGGCTAAGTATTGTCTTTTTCATCATTACCAATGATTTTATTATTATCTGGTATTTGATGTCCTTAGATATAGTTGATTTTGTTCATTTTTCTTGTTACTTGAAAAAAATAACTTGCTTTTAATATTAACATACCAAAGTCTGATTCATGATGAAGACATTTTTTCTGATTACATAATGCAAATGCATTGAATTTTTTTTTTCAAGCCCTACATAGGCAGAATACAGGGTTACTGGGGTTGCATAATGCTTGTCCAGCCTACCCAGTGTGCCATCCACACTGCCAGGCACTGTTCTAAGTATCTTACCTATTTTAACTCATTAAATCCTCACAACAACACTATTTGGTAGATAAATTAGGTAAATACTATTATTAACCCATTTTGTAAATAAGAAGACTAAAGTTAAGTATCTTGCCCAAGGCTACACAAACAGCAGTTAAGTGAAAGAGCTAAGATTCAAATTCAGTCTGGCTCCAGAGTTCATTCTCTTAACCACTAGTACAATTTATGGTACCAACTTAAAGGTACAACTTAAAAAGAAAAATGTTAGAGCATGTTTAGGGTTCCAGGCAGTGTGATATAGTATTTACTGCTATTCACCTCAGATCAAGTCACTTAACCTTGCTGAGCCTCAGTTTCTCATCTGTAAAATGGGAATGGGAGATAAGGTGAATATTATTACCTCACATGGAAGATGGGAACAAAACAATGATACCATAGGTAAGACAGAGTGATCTGGTTCATTCTGGGCAATTTTTTAAAGTTGTCATGAAATATTATGAATACTCATTAAAGCTTAGGCTTGGGAGGGGATGGTAAAAGAAACTCACTGCGTCTAAGTTTCATCATGATGACCAGCTTGAGGTAGGTTCAAATCTGCAGGCTTTCCTCCTGTTGGAATGAGGAAAAGAACCAATTTGAAGACAGAGGCATGAAGCCACAATGCCACAAGCCTCTCCTGAGTCCCCAAAGGCAAAATAAAATGTTAAAGAACATGATAAGGAAGCCCTAATAATGTAGGGAGGAGGCAAGAGAATTAAAAATGTTAATCAAGCTACATTCAGAGACTGCAATATGCCGATCAGCCCTGCAGCCAGGCCAGGAGGACACCTGTAGAACAAAGAAAGATTTCTACTGAGATTGCTAACAACCCATTCCCCACACCTGTAGAAGGGAAACAGGAAAAACCAAGGCCTTAAGTGGCTGCCCTACACAAAATAAAATTGTTCATTTTCTATGGCTAAAACCATGCGGAACCTACGAATTAAAGGCTGGGAACTGTCAGCCAGTGGGCCTTTAACACTACCTATTCTTATCTTTTCAAGCTACATACTCTTCCCCTTCCCCTCCCTCACTGTATGTCGATATCAAAGGAAAAAATGGGAACCTAAAGAATGACATATAAACTGAATTCTCTAAACACTAGGCCCCCCTATTCACTGCTTTCCAAGTCTCTCTTGGTCCTTCTCTCACTCTCTGCGTCTGAGAGGAGACCACACTCTGTCTGTGGAGTGTTACCCCTTTTCTAATAAACTTTCCTTTTGACTAACTTTGGCGTGTGTGTTGAATTCGTTCTACACTCTCCACCAAAGAACCCTCTTCTCCCGGTGCAGGATTTGGTCTTCCCTCCACCCCACCCCACCCCGCAACTCAGAGAAATCTGCCCTGTCCTGCATCACTAACAATTAGAGGAACTGGGAGAAGGGGCTATGTTGAACTTGGGGCCTACTATGGCTGAGTCTACACAGGGAAGGCAGTCACACTACCCAAGGGAGGCTAGGTCTAAACCTCTCTTCCTGGGTGGAATGCTTCAATGCATCGGATGAGGTCCTTGATCCTCAAACCTCTACCCTGTAGTGTTACACACTAGGTAAGAAACTCTCTACACTGAGGTAAGGGGTATACAAGGATGATCTTTTTCTACATAAGGTATTAATAGTAACTCTTTCTGAAGTAGGGAGTTCTGTGTCTCATCAACCCTGAAAGGAGGGGAAAAACAAATCCCAGGAGTCTACTCTGGGGAAAAGAGACCTCAGAATAGGGTTTTGTTTTGTTTTAATCTGCATGCCTATGTGGACCGAGGTCAGTGCAAATCTTGGGGGAGAGGGGAAAATCTGTGCCTGCCTATGTGGTTGGGGTCTCTTCCTTTGTGATTGGGAGGGACGAGATGCCTTCTGTCCCTCTACTTCAAGGGTGCAGAGGGGCTGGGGAAACTGGCACAGTGGCTGTGTGCATCTCTGCTGCATGGGAGAGAAGGGAGGGTCTGTGGAGTGGGCCTGATATGCCTATTACTACAAGATAACATCAGTGTCACACTAACTAAGCAGGGAATCACACAGCTTTGCATGAATGGGGTCTGCATCTTGCCTGCTGTGAGTTATTCTAGACCCTTCCATGGGAGATGGGATGAGGATGATGTTTATCTTGTATATGGGTTGACATCAGCAGTGCACTACCATTGAAGGAAATAGAATCTCTGGTTCTCTGCATGGGGGTGGAAGGCATGACAATGCAGTTCTAAATTTAATGCACAGGCCCTTACATTTGGCAAGGGGAGTCCTGTATTTTACACTGGGGAGAGGAGGGGGTCCTCCTCTTTTACAGTGGAAAGAGATCTGAGGTCCTCTACCTTGGGTAAGTGGGGAGCCCATATGGATGTACTGTGGGGTGATCAGTGATGTCACTGCCTCTCAAAACTGCGGGGAGGGGGAGCTGCACCTATCTGTTCCCTTGTAGTCTCTTCTTTGCTACATTTGATGATTCCAAATCCTTTTAGGCGGAGGGGAGGGATGATCTGTGTCTACCTTAAAAGAACAAATCCAAACCCCTTCTACCCTGGGAGCCCCACAAGAGGCAGATCTGACAATCTCTTCGTGGGTTAACGTCTACTGCAGTTTGCTGCAGGGAATTTTGGGGGTCAGGCTTTTATAAATTCAGTAAACCAGCACTATTGCAGTTTGCTGCAGGGAATTTTGGGGGTCAGGCTTTTATAAATTCAGTAAACCAGCATGTCCTTAAAGGGGGGGTCAGGTCTGATTTTCCACAATGGGTACTCACTCTATAGTCTAGGAGGAGGGGTAAATCTGCATGGTTCTCTGTGGGCTGTAGCTCCTGCCTTCAACCACTGACCGGGATGGGGAAAAGTGATCTACTATCTCTGCAGAAGTGGGGGCGGGGCTTCTGTCAATTACTTAACACGAGGGCGAAGCAGGGAGGGAAGGAGGTTCCCTCCCAGTTTCTGACCTCCTCTATACTGGTGGTCGGGGATGGGGATGGAGGTGGGGCGGGGTTGGGGGAGAGGGGTACGGAGAGGGAAATACATCAAAGCTTCTAACCCCCTTAGGAAGAGATGCGTCAAGTCGGATGTGTGCCTTAGCGCCAGCACAGGTCTGAGCGGTCAGCCTTGTGGGGAGGGAGATAGGTCTCTATACAGGTGAGGTCAACGCCTGTCTATACGTAGAGTGCGGAATGGAGCTTCACTATCGTGAAAGGAGGAGGACATTCGACGCTTCTCCACACAAGTGGGGTCTATGACTCTATACAGTGTGTACGGGATCTACATCTATCTAAATGGGGTGGGGCCGTGCCCCACTACCCAGCAAAAGTGCATTTGGGCGCAGGTCCACGTGCAGAGAGATCCCTGCCCTTCATCTAGGCCCTTTACCCTGGAAGGCTGTAGGCTCCTTATGTCTCTATTCCAAGGTGGAGAGTGCCTCTGGTTTCACCTCAAATGCAGGACCCTTACTGCGCGGCCAACTGGGTGAACGCTCACTACAAAAAGAGGGAGTCGTCTCTTACCTCCACTTCCGGCGTAGATCCACGAGAAGAAGTGAGCTGAACACGCTCGGCCCAGAGGCTGCGCTAGCACGGCTAGGTTCCGACTTCCGGATCCCAGTCTTGCGGCACAGGCTCCGCCCACCGTGCGCCCCAGGGGGCGGGGCTTCTAATTGATGGCTCACGCCTGCCGGTCCCTTCCCGCGGCCGCGCTGGCTCCGCCTCCCAGCTGTCCAGTAAGATAATAAAATAGTCAAGACGGGAGGAGGGAGGTGGAGATGGGGGAGAGGAAGCGGGAGGGGTAAGCGATGGGTTGATTGGTGTGGCCATATAAAATATTTGCAAGCTAGGATCTTCTCTGCGGTCCTCTGCCAGGGCCTAAGTATGCGTGTTCCCGAAACCTAAGAACAGGCGATCACCATGACCGCATCAGACAAAGGTTGGGGTCTGTGCCTTTGTCTACAATGGAAAATGGCGACGGGCTGGGTGTGAGAAAATGGCCGCCTGGGTCACATGTCTTCCGAGTATTTCCCACTTGAAGTGACTTGGTTAGCTGTTCCCTGCAATCTTCCTGGCTTGTAGGGCCCCAGACAAACCCGTAGGCAGCCACTCCCAGTTCTTTCTGCTGAAGGTAAGATCCATGGCCAGGTCTGGGAGCCGAACAACTGGAAGCCTCTCCCACCCGTTTGCCTTCTTCCCCGCCTCCTCCCTCCTTCCCTCAGGTCCCCGGATCGATGTCTGCAAAAGGGAGTGAATTCATATCTCTGGAGTGGAGGCAAGTAAGGATTTCTTTAGAAACCCATGTCGAGCTCCTGACCTGGCTGGAAAATTAGGTCTCCCCCTAACAGTAAATATTAGTCTGAAAATTGTCTTCTTCCTAACAACTTAGTTTCAGCCCTTTCTCTTCCTTTAGCCTAAATTTAGGAGTGAGGCCAAGCTTCTCTACCCCAAGGGTATGTTCCTCCACCTGTCCCATAACCAAGCAGAAGATGACACCCTCTGCCTAGTCCTACACATTACATGCTCAGGACTCACTGCCCCTCCATTGATGGAAGGCTTCCAATCTCTCACCCTAGAGACACACAAAACTCTGGCCCCCAAACCAGCCCTGGCCACCTTCACCTTTACCCCTGCATTAGCAAATTCTTCCTGTTTCTGTAAAACTTAACCCTTGTCACTTCTAAGAACTTTCCCATCTGAGTTAGAAACCCAAGGCACTTTGTTGAACTTATCACTTAGTACTGTATCATGGCTGTATCGCCACAGGAGAATGAACTCTCTAAGACTAGGTGCCATATATCTTCGATCCTTCAACAAGAACCAGCACAAGACTGGTATAAGGCAGGCTTCAGCAAATGTTTGTTAAATGGGTGAAATTATAGGCCTGCACCACAAATCAATGGGAAATGAACGTTTTAGTAGCTAGCATTGGGAAATTTGGCTCACAATAAAAAAAAAATAAAACTGGATCCCTACTTATTTCCACATAAGAGAATAGAGAATATCTTTGTGACCTAGGACAGAGATGGACTTTTTAAACGAAGTCCCAAATGCACAAACTATAATGGAAAAAATTGTAATGAAATCTTTGGTAGAAGTGAAAATTGGTTTTACTCCTTTAGGAAACAATTAGGAAGTATCCAGAATAGCTGACGGTGGCCCTAGGACCCAGCAATTATACTGATAAATATATGTGTGTGTGTGTGTGTGTGTGTGTATGTATATATATACACACACATACATAACATACACATATATGTATATATGTATATACATATGTGTGTATATATATATGTCTTCCCCTAAACTTTAAGTCCTAGAGAAATTATTATACATACATGCACAAGGAGGCAAGTGCAAGAATATTCATTGCAGAACTGTTTGTAATAGAGAAAAAAATCTAAATCTGAAAGTTCACCAAGAGAATAAATAGTGGTACAGCCCTGCAATGGAGTACTATACAGCAGTGAAAAATGAACCAGCGTTGCATGTATCAACCCAGATAAATTTCAAAAACCCAATGCTAAGATAAAATACAAGTCATAGAAGGATACATTAAGTATGAGACCATTTACTAATGTAAATTTTTAAAATCTAGAAAACTGCACTATTTTGTTTATAAATCATATATAGCTATGTAATATTTTTAAAACAAGTGAATTAAATATCAAATGCAGAATAGTGATTACCTCTGGGGAAGAAAACGAGGGAACAGAACGAGAAAAATACACAGGGGACTTCAACTGTTTATCTGGGTAGTAGATACATGAGTGTGTTACATTATTCTCTGTACTTATTTGCATGCCTGAAAGATTTTATCATTTTTTTTAGAAAGACTGTGATGGTCTACAACAAAATTAATGGTGTTTAAATCTAGATCAGTGGTTCTCAAACTTTGGCCAGCAATAGAATCACTGGGAGGGCTTGTTAAAACACTGATTGCTGGGCCCCCCAGCCAGAGTTGTGTTTCAGTAAGTCTGATGATGAAGCTGCTGCTGGTGGTGCTGCTAGTCCAGGTACCACATTTTGAGTACTGACGGAGAAAATGAGATTATCAGTGAATTAGTTTTCTTCATTGTGCTTTTCTGTGTTCTGTGTTTTTGCTATTTTTTAAATTCACTTTCATCTCTACTTTCCACTCTTATTTCTCTCATGTACACCATTCTAAAATGTTTTATGTATACCTTTTATTTAAATGTGTTCTTGCAAAATATATATTATTTTATGTATGTATTTCCCCCAGAATATTTATTTTTCAATTTTTCAAAATTCAGAACAGTTGAAAGAATAGTACAATGAAAGAACATTTACCCTTAACATTTTGCCAAATTTGGTCTACCTTATATGTGTATGTATACATTTCCTTTTTTTGATGAACCAATGAAAAGTTTCAGACAGTATAACACTTCACCCCTAAATACTTCAGCACACATCTATTAGAATGAGGACATTCTCTTACATAACCACAGTACCATTATCACACCTAAGAAAATTCAACAATAATTCAATAATACCATCAAAGATACCCTATATTCAAATTTTCCAATTGCGCCCAAAATATTTTTTTTTAGCCCAGGATCTAATCAAGGTTTATACATTATGTTTGGTTGTTCTATCACTTTAACCTCTTTTAATCTAGAATAGTACCCTTATATATCTTTATGTGTTATATTACACTAATATTTTTTTACAAGTTTCTCATAGAATGTTGTGCATTCTGGATTCATCTGCTCTTTCCACATGATTAAATTCAGGTTAAATGTTTTCAGCAGTAATGGTACATATCGGATATTGTTTACTTCATATTGTATCACCTCAAGAGGCACCTCCTCAGGTTGCCCCATGATGAAGGATGCTTTGTGTGTGTGCATTTTTATTTTATGTAAATGATGTCTCATTCTGTTTCTTACTTTTTTTCATTCAGCCATGTGTTTTTAAAGTCTATCCATATTGCAGTGTATACACCTAATCCATTGCTTCTAACTGCTCATGCTAACCACAGTGTGCCTTCACCACATTTTCTCTGAATATTCCCATAATGACAGACAGCAGGATTGCCTCCTACTCCTCCATTCCACAAATAATACTGTGATGAACAGCCTCGTGCAAGTCCCCTTAATGGCCTATATGAGAATTTCCTTTGGAACATACACCCAGGAGCACAATGATTGCATCATAAAGTGTGCATATACTTAGTTTGACTGAGAACACTAATACTGCTAGATGGTTCTCTGGGATGGCTACACTAGTCTATAGTTTTACCATCAGTGTACGAAGATTCCTGTACCCTTTCATCCTCACTAACACTTGATCTTTTCCAGCTTTCTAGTTTTTGCCAGTCTAATAGCAACAAAGTAATATTTTGTTTTAGTTTGTGTTTATCTAATTACTAATGAACTTTCAAGCATCTCTTCGTATGTGTCTTAAATGTATCTTCTGTAAATTGCCTGGTTGTATAGTTGGCCCATTTTTTCTATTGGGGTTCTTCTTTCCTGTTGATTTGCTAGAGTTCCTTATATAGTCTAGCTTCTAGTCCCATGTCAGTTTCAGACATTGTGAATATTCTCTCCCTCTTTTAACTTTGCCTGTGATAGCCTTCTTTGAAAAAAATTCATTAATTTCAATGTAATCAAATTCATCAAATTTTTGCTTTATGGTTTTTGGTTTGGCAGGTATTTAAAAAGTAGTTTCCTCCCCTGGGCCCACAAAGATGTTCTACTTTTTTTCTATTAACTTTGGAGTATACCTTTCACCTTTAGGTTTTAATCCATCTAGAATCTACTCTCATATGTGGTGATAGGTAGGGATACAATTTTATTTTTTCCACATACTGAGCTACATTTCCCACCATCAAATACAAACCGTCTTTTTTTTTCAATGATTTCCCATGCCACCTTTGCCATATATTATGAGGCACGCACGTGCACACACACACGCGTCTGTTTTCTTGCACTAATGCCACCTTGTTTTTAATATTTTATAATGTATCTTAATATCTGATAGGGCAAGTTCCTCTTCTTTAATCTTTTTTAGGGTGGTCTTAGCTATATCTCTACATAAATTTGAAAAAGAGTTTATCAAGCTCTTCAACAATCCAACTGGAGTGTTGATAAGGATTGTAATGAATTTATAGATTTATTTAGGAGAGTTGACATAATCAAAATATTAACTCCTCCCATCCAAGGGCATGGAATATCTCCTCAGTTCAGTTCACCTTCTATCTGTATTCTTTATTAAGAATTGAAAGTTTCTCTTTAGAATTGTTGTATGTTTTTTCTAATTTAATTCCTAGTTGCTTTATAGTTTTTGTTACTATTGTGAATATTTTATTTGTATTTATTTTTCAATATCTAATACATGTACACTTGGAATACCCAGTTGTCACCACACCTCCCCACAGTTAACAGTTTTATTAGTTTATTTTGTATTCTTTCAGTGTTTCTTTCTTATTCAAATGGTGATGTACTATATATATTGTTATATATGTTGCTCTTTTCACTTAATGATATTTCCTGGAGATCTTTCCATATCAGAGCATTAGAAAGCTTTCAGTACACAAAAAGTCACTGTATGGAAGCAGATAGAGTACTTCCTCAAAATGTTATATTATGTGAATGTACAATATTTTATTTAATGACCACAGTCCCCTATTGATGGATACTTTGGTATTA